GTGCATAGATTTTAAGGAAAAATAAGATGATATAAAAATATCTTAAATTTGTATGTATAATTTTTCCAGGGAGTAGGCTCCATTATCATAATAGCAAATACTGTAAATGTATACATTCATAGACAAAAACAATTTCCTTCCATTAGTGAAATCAATAATGCAAGTAGGGAAGAAACTACACATGATACTGTCTTAATGCGCTTTAGAGCTATATTACAAATTTAAAAGTATAAATAAAAGACAATCTCTCAAGCAAGAGACATTTTAACTTTTTTTTAAGTGTGGGAGGTTATATGAGAGTGGGTTCCTTTCAACTGATTGATTTAGTGTTGGGGTAGAAAGCTAAATTTGAACATACTACCAACAGAGAGATAACATTTAGTAATTTTATAAAAAGTATGAAAGGGGAAGGAACAACAGAAGAAGGGAGGGGGGCTCAGAGTTTCAGACCTGAAAAAAGACAAAGAAAAAATTCAAGGAGAAAACAGAGTTCAGCTACAAAGATTATGACAAAATCACAAAACTATGAAAGAGCAGTATCAAAACTCTTAACAGATGTCCAAGGTAATTAGAAAAAAAATTCTTATTCTTCAAACATCTTACAATTCCAGAGGCCAGCAACAACATTGGTACTTTGGTATTTATTTTGCTTAAATATTCCTAGTATATAGAATGCAGCCCTGATGAAATAAAGGTGGTCAGATTCTAGGGAAATGAATGAGAATTGGGTCCAGGAACCTCATTATTCCTTCCTCCCTTAATTTCCATACTTAAGTCATCTTTCAATGTGCCCCTAGTCTACCGAGAAAAAGACTCAAAAATGACACTGAAAGGAAAATACAAAAGACCAAAATTAAAAGAAAAGAGAAAAAATTTTCTAATCATCCAGTAAATTAATATTGAAACAAGAAACCTCAGAATTTTAAAAAGAAAATAATGCGGAGAGTGCTTTCCAAAACTTTGCTTAATTTAAAACTTTTAGTTGTCATGCATATGATTCTCTGAGCAAGGAGGCTCTATTTCATGACTGGAAATGACATAAGATAGTGGTCTCAAGCCTTTCCCAAGATCCTCCCCAAAATAATGGTAACCAACCCAACTAGGGAGATCTCTTCATTCAAGCCTCTTTCGTAGTTGATCAAGGTATTAAGTTCAATGACAAGAAGATCCAAAACAGTCAGCAAATAATCTATAGACTTCAAATCTAAAAACTATGCCAAATACTCTATTAACTGGTGCTTTGTATAAGAAACAACTGAGGCCAAAAAAAAAAGGACATCCACTACAGTTCAATGAGGGAAAGAAAGGATGGTTTGTTAATAACTTGAAATCCACGTGGGGAAATCCATATGGAGAAAAAAATGTTGACCCTTACTTGACACCATATAAAAATCAGTTCCTGATGGATGGCAGATATAACTATAAAAGATAAATAAAGTCTCTTAAAAAAAATCTTCATGGTTTCAGAGAAGACAAATCTTTCTTTAAAGCACTAACCATAAAAGAAAAGGAGACTTTTTGGATTAGTTAAGCACTTTTGTTAACTGAGACAGTGTGCGCTACATACATCCTAAGATATCTGAAATACATATAACCAACAAAAGACTTAAATCTAGTACAGATCTTCCATGACCTATGATGGGATTGTGTCATGATAACTTATAGTAAAATCAAAATATCATTAAGTCAGAAAAGCTGATTTGGATCTTGCACCAGCAGGAGTGTATATTGTATCCCACTTCCTATTAAATGTATCTTTCACACCATCATAAAGTTCAGAAAACATAAAGCAGCAGAAACATGTTCAACTAAACATTCACAATAACAGTATTCATAAATAGTCTCAAGCTGGAAATTACCCAAAGACAGTCAACAGTAGTATGGGCCTTTAAAATGTCACAAATTCTGGCTCTCCCTGGTGGTACAAGGGGTCAAAGCACAGCACTAAGAAGTTATCCGAGCTACTGAGGCATGAGTTCCATCCCCAGCCAGGGAGGTGGTCCATGTGATGCCACAGACCTCTCCTGTCTCACCCTGCTGCTCTTCTCAGCAGTGTATTTCAGTATACTTGCCTGTTCTTCTCCTGACTCTATCTCTGGTGAATCCTCTCTCCTTTTCCCCCTACAACCTTTGGCCTGTACCCCAGTTCCTGTATGCACAAATAAATGTATTAAAAAAAAAAAAACCAGGGCCCTCCCTGGTGGCGCAGCCGGTTAAAGCACAGCACTGAGAATCTAAAGCCACTTCTGCATGAGTTCGATCCCGGCCTGCCCCGGAGGTGACCACATGGCGTGGCAGACCTCTCCTGACCTGCCCGCCGCTCCCCTCAGCAGTGTACTTCGTCGATCTGCCTGTTCTGTTCCCCGCTCTGTCTCTGGTGAAGCCTCTCGCCGCCCCTGAGCCTCTGGCCTGTACCCCAGTTCTGTATACACAAATAAATAAATCTTTAAAAAAAAAAAAAGCCATTATAAATTCACAGATATACTATGGAGAAATAAAAATTTCTCAAATGACAATGTAAATGAATATAAAAAATAAATGCTGAGGACAAAAAAAAAAAGACAAACATACATATGGAATTGAGGTATATAAACTATAAAAAAACAGACAACTATGATGCTAAGAGACATGTGAAAATCATGTAAATCAATTTTTTAAAAGCTAGTATCCAACAAAATACTATTTTTATCTTTTCTATCAAATTAACAATGGTTAAAGGAAACTAATAAGACTGTTGCTGATATTTGGTGAAATTCACATTATTATTCCTGTTAAGTAACAAAAATTCAAATGAGTTAATTTTAAAGATCTAATTGTCTTTATTAAATCACTCAGGAATGAATAGCATCCCATTTAGCAAGTAGAAAGGCAATGCAGAGTTATACAAAATGGAAGGTTTTATAGTTAGAAAAAAGGGTGAGATAAAAAAAAAAGGATTATTTCCAGCAAAGCCACCTTTCCTTAGGGTCTTATCTTGCTGGTTATCTCACTGTGCAGACGAGAAAAGTCCAGAAGATTGGCTTAAAATTCTACTTTTGGAAGTGGCAGAAACTGCAAATAGGTTAGGTATGAAGTCTAGGTGAGGCTCAGCATAAACTCTACTTTGGGACTATTATTGTTCCTTATTTTTTTTTTTCTCCTAAACATTGCTAATGGAAACATGATTGGTGTAATCTTTCTGCATAAGTCTTTTAAAAAGAGGTTAATATTCTTTGATCCACTAGTTTTCCGTTTAGAAATTATTCTAAGGAAAAAATCAGAGTTGCACTTAAAGATGGACTTGTGTCTGAATTGATAATGGTATTTTGAAATAATATAACTATTCAATAATGGAGAAATGGTTATGATATATGCATGTGATGAAATATTATGCTAGTAATAATGCTTTCAAGAGTAATATATGGAAAAGGTTCATGATAAATTTAAGTAAAGATGCATACAAAATTCCATGAAGTATATCTGGAGCCACACACAAACATAAATTTGCATAGAAAAAATTCTGTAAGAACACATGCTATAATATTAAAAGTGGCCATTTTGAAGTGGCAGGATTATGAATGATTTTAATTTTGTGACTGATTTCCTACAATGACATGTTCTTTGAACATGCTTTACTATTTATCCACAAATCTCTAAAGAAATCTAAGATTTCCTAGAATTTTAAGCATCCTAGGTTTTTTTTTAGAAATAATTTTATTTATTAAATTCACTTATTTAAGCAGCCTAAAGTTTTGTCTCCTCTTCAACTATCACATGCAATCTATAACTGTTTTCTGGATTTTACCTTAGAGGTATCTGCTCAAGTCATTATTTATTTTTTCTCTTATTTACGAGATTCTTGTCTTCCTAGTACACTTCTCCAAACCAGGCTTCATTGTGGTAAAATGGCCATCTTTCACTACTTCCACATTCTAGCCATATCAAACCACTCTATGTAGCCACTCAAGTCTGAAAAATCCACATCAGGCACTATGACACCTCCCAATCCTGGCAGATTCTGTTCTGTGTCCCATCTCTTACTGATCAATTCACAGTTCAAGATTTACCTCCAATATCATTTACTGCGTGTAGCTTCTAGAAGGCCATAAGAACAGATGGAGGTTTCCAAATATATTCTCTAACGTACAGATACTTCAACATGTATCATTATGCCCTTATTTTGTGTTAAGCTCTATTGTAGGAAATGGACCATTTAAAAACATTTTCTTAAAATCTAGTTGGATAAGTGAACATAAAGCATATGTCTATGTATTACACATATACAGGAGCATCAATCTTAACCTCTGTCTGATAGACAAATGGCAACAAAAACACCAGCCTTGATTTTTTTCATTCAAGATGGCAGAGAATGTCTTAAAATAGTCCCACACAAAAGCACTCGCACCCTGAGTCTCAAGTCCTAAGGACTACTACCTCTAGCGCAAAACACGCAAAGGACAAAAGAATTAAACCTAGATGCGGAGATAACCAGAGCCTAATTACCAACAGTAGGTCCCACACAGAGATTCCAAACCGTGTTAGAAACCTGGCACCTGCAACCTTCATTCCTGGTGCCACGCCTCGACCACGAACCTGCTGGATACAGACTCAAAGCATCGAGGACTAAAAAGGGGGCGGTCAAGTTTTATTAGTGAGTATCCAAAATGCTCTACAGGGCCCCGCCCCAGCCAGATGCAGTCCTCCCCCTCCCTCCCCCGGGACGTCCAACCCCGCGGAAGGAAGAGACAGGGCTCGTGCTGGACCCCGCGGCCTGGCAACCGTGCTCGGGCTCGGAATTCTGGGCGGGCCCGAGGCAGAGGCTGGTGCAGCCAGGTCTCCTCGAGATACACCTGTCAGGCGGCGGTCAGCTAGGCCCAGAAGCCGCTGGGATTAGACGACTGAGACCCGAGGAGCGTCACCCAATTCCCGCCCCGCGATCGGTCCCTTGCTTTGCCTCTTCGCCTCTCCCTTTCACCTTCTCAAACAAAGGCAATCCATACCCACCGCCATTTTCCCCTTACCTCAAAAACCACCTCTTCGTCAAACTCGGGTGTCATCCTTCTCCGCCATGCCACCCACCTCAGCACGATGGGAAATGAAGGCGGGAGAACACACAGCACCCACCCGTCCGTTTCTGCCCAGCCTCGCGTGTCCAGAAAACTACAATTCCCAGCCTGCCTCGCGGTTCACGCCCCCTTTTCAGAGACGTTTATTGGAACAGAGGATAAATATGGGGCGGGAAAAGAACTAATTTCGAGACCTCTGATTGGATGTAGTTGTCTGCCTTTTACGGCTGCGGCTAGCAGGGGGCGCCTGAAGCACAGATTTTTTTTTTTTTTTGGTAGCACTAGCGGGCACGCGCCGGCGGAGCTCGTGCCCGCGCTTGGCCGTCCGCCCAGAGTTCGGAAAGGCGGTGCTCGTGCCCGCCCGCCCGCTGTCTGCGGCTCGCGCCCGCGAGCGCCGCTGGGTCCCTGGAGCCCGCCGCATCCTTTGTGCGGCGCTCAGGCAACGCTGTGGGGCAGCGAGACGGAATGTGGCCAGTGCCACAGTTCTCTTCTGCCAAAACTCTGTAAACAATGGACTGAAAGGGAACATGGATTGAGGAGAGCGAGCTGGGAAAGCGAGCTGCGGGGGAGAATCATGACTTCTGCCGCCGGTAAGTGACGGCGCTCGTCTTGCGGCTGAAAGTTTGTGGGGAGCGCGGCTAGTCTTAGACTTTGGAGCAACTTTCTCCTCCGGGTGGGTGCGTGGTGTTCTCTCAGTCTCCCGGGGACGCTGGCAAGTGCGGAGCGGACGGCTTTCGCTGCCGGGTTTCTTCCCTTCAAACCCACAGGGGCAATTCGGAAATCGCCTATCTGTGGGGACCTCCCTTTAAAGGGAGACCCGTGGGGGGGGGGGGGACGCTTGCGCCAGGTGAATCGCGAGCGGTGAAGACGTTTAATCCTTTCTCCTAAAATGTGAGCGAATTCCCCTTTGCATGTGAAAATTGTGAGATTCCCACGTTAAGTTATTCTAGAAAGGGCTGCGTTCCCGGAGTTTGAAGTTGAACTCTGAGCTCGCAGAGTCCCTTTAAACCAAATAGCGACCGGAACCCTGACCCGCACTAGATAAGGAGGTTTAGACATTGTTACTCCTATCTTGGTGAGTTTTCCCGTTACCTGGGAAGCAGAGGAGTAGAATTGCCGATTGCAAATTTTCTGCTCACACTCACTCAGCTTCTTTTTTTTCTTTTTTTTTTTTTTCCTATTTCTACCTGGTTAGTGGGAACAAAGACTTATTTTCTATCCGCCTGCCATCGTCCTTTTGCTTCAACCAAATGACAAAGCCTGTCTTTACCTTGGTGTGGATTTGGAGCAATTCTGGACATTGTATTTCTAAACACTGCTGAAAAAAACAGTTATTCTCCAAAATAATTATGAATGTGGTGTTAAATTTACTTTATAAGAACATAGGTTAATTTTAAACCAGAGCTTAATAATGTAGCATTAAGTGTTTAGTTTTTTTTTTTTTTTAACAATTTTGTCCACGTTGAAAGATGAACTTCCATTAGAAATTTCGTGGTAAAATAGTGTAAATGTTCCTCTCAGGGTTACTTCTAGAATCAGCAATTTCTAGTATCAGATTAAAATTTCTTTGCTTTTCTTGGCACTTATTTTGAATTCCTGCAACTTGAAACTGTCAGCTTGAAAGTGCCAAACAGCACTCCAAATGTTCTAATATGTATTATTTCTAAAGCCTGATATACTGGAGTGTGTATTACTAGGTGTAATCAGATTTATAACTAACAAGGCAAGAAGTTGGCCAATAGGAATAGGAAAGCAAGGCGTGCACTAGTACTGCAGTAGTATTTCTGAGAATGTTGTGGATCCTTTTTTATTTCATGTGTATGTATGTCTAGAAGGCTTTCTACTTACTTGAGGTGGATTATTTTAATATTCAATGCCTGTACCTCACCTTTGTTCAAGTTTTCTTTGTTAGTGACCCAATCTGATTTAAATTTGAAGTGGTTGGAATTTTTCAAATTCTACCAACTATTATTGCTGCCTTTTTTGGAGTGTCAGCCACATTTAAAATATTCATGCTTTATTTATATCAGTTACAAATTTCAGTTTTAAACATTTGCAATAAATAGGCAGAGGACTATTTAATTATGTAAACATGGTGTAGGACTCAGTCTAGAACTGCTTGATTCTTTCATTTGAATTACCCTAGAATAATGCAGCTATTTTTATATTTTATCAACTTTACAATTAAAGAAATCCGCAGACATTTTTGTGGTGTTTAAAAGAGGGTCACTTCCTGTGTTTAGCTGAGTTAGTTGGTTTTTAGCATAGCTTGCTGAGAAGCATTAACTACTTTGTTCACCCATCTGTTGAGATTTATTATAATTCTTTCTTGTGTCTGAATGGAGGACTTGGAAGAGAAGTAGGGCATTATTTCCATCCCATTCTTATAAAAATATGTGTTCACCATTCTCACTAGTTGTTCATGATGCCTTTTGCAATAATAGTCAAATTTGATGAAACTTTAGGAGAGTTACTTTTTGCAATTGGAGGGAGGGGGTGTTTGTTTACATTGAATGTAATCTGTGGTATTTGGGATGGTTGGCTTAATTTCAAAAACTAAGAGAGGTATAGGTCATTTAAGTTCTATGTATATAAGAACTTTGTTTTTCTGCATATGAAAGATTAGGCCCATAATAGAGATTTTTAGAATTGTTCTAATCAGTATTTTTAAAGGAGAGATAATTTATACATGTATATTCTGTATCTTTTTGAACATGTACATGTATCTTTTTAAACATATTTTGTATAATTTTGAACACATGCTTTTTGACTGGATCAATAGTCATTGTTACGTCTAAAAAAGTCTTTGCACATGAATCACAGACATCTGTGTGTCACAGATGAGGAGAATGTTTGTAATAGTAAAATGGTACTGGTGCTTTACTTTCTTACCTTAATTTTCCCTGGAGCCAAACAGCTGTATAAATAAAAGACTTGCTGCTTTACTCTAAAAAGCACTGGATCTCACTGTTGATACAGTATTAAGATCCAAAGGCGCTGGGTTCATTTCCAAACACCATGCACTTATTTCAAGAGTTTGACATTGGAGCAGACCATAATATAATAACATGTTAGGTTTTCAGTGGGTTTCTTTAAAAATAGAGCACCCCCCCCCACACACACACAAATGAAGAATTTCAGATATTGTTGTACCAGTGATTAGGAATGTTGTTCCCACTAATAATTAAGGACTTATCAAATTGTTACTATATCTTAAAATGGATATTGATTTTTTAAAAAAAAGATTTATTTATATATGCATACAGAAGTGGGGTGTAGGCCAGAGGTGCAGGGGTGGTGAGAGAATTCACCAGAGACAAAGCGGGGAGCAGAACAGGCAGATGATAGAAGTATACTGCTGGGGGGAGCAGTGGGCGGGTCAGAAGAGGTCTGCCTGCCATGTGGATCACCTGCAGGGCCTGGAATCAAACTCAGACAGAAGCAGCTGAGGGCCCTGGATATTGTTGATTTTTAAAAGAAATATCCTGTTACTGAGATATGTTAAAGAGAATGTGTGTGTGGCAATTCTGACTATTCCTAGGTGCTATATTCAGCATTGAGGATACAGAATGAGACAAAGTAATATTCTCTTGGTGCTTACCTTCAAGTAATAAGGAGACAAAAGTGCCCTGGAAAAAAGTGACACAGAGCAAAGGGGCTAAAGAATATAGGGTTTTCCTGTAAGAAGTATCTCAGCAGTTATAATCTCAGGATCAAATAGGCTTTAGCAATCTGTTCAACCTCTCATTTACAAATAAGGACTCTGTTATGGCCCACCTGCATAGACTTGTGTACAAAATACATTTAAAATAAAGAGTAGAATTGGTGTAATAAATTAAAAAGCAGTGTAACTAAAAAGAAATTATTAATTTGTAAATCACTGAAAGAAAAACATTAATTTGACGAGACAGTTTTTTTGTTGTTGTGGTAGTGGTGGTGAAATACATCATAATATAACATCTTTATCATCATTTGTAAGTGTCCAGTCAGTAATATTAAGTATATACACATTTCAGAGCAGTCAATTTCCAGAAATCTTTTCATCTTGCCAAACACTTTATTTCTTCAAAAATATCAGAGATAGGATGTTTTAAGAATGGTTATAGAAATAAAATCATGACAGTCTGTCAGTTTTCATTATTTTTGAGTACCAAGGGAGGTTGGAAGAGGCCAGGGATATGCATACTTCCTCTTGGATGTGACTTAATAACTTAAGAGTTTAATAGACCATTACACCAAGCTCTAGCATTAGGTTTTGAAGGATTTTATCATTTGTCTACCTTTAAAAAAATGAACACATACCCTCCCTGGTGGCACAACGGGTTAGGATACAGCATTTCAGACTAGTCGCCGCTGCTTCAGGCCACTGCTTCAGTGCCAGTTTGAGCTCCGGCCCCAGAGGTAACCCACTAGGCGTGGCAGACCTCTCCTGTCTCACCTGTTGCTCCCCTCAGCAGTGTACATCATCGATCTGCCTGTTCTGCTCCCCATTCTGTCTCTAGTGAATCTTCTCACTGCACCTGCACCTCTGGCCTGCACCCCAGTTCTATACATGTAAATAAATAAATTTTTAGAAAAAAACGAACTCAACGTATAGTATATTTATTGAATAGCTGACTGAAATTATATAACTTAGGGAACTTGTTGTTTTGAAAATATTTTGTTATCTTCATTTATGATAACATTGTACTGAGGAATTGAATGAGAATGGCCTCTGTTATGTGATCTTGGCTGAATACTTAGTATTAGAAGTTTGGAAAATTCTTCCCTGGCTGGTAAAGGGAAGTAAAGCTCTTGACTTTTTTTTTCTTTTCTTTTTTAACTCAATTCCATGTAATATCTTCCCAAGTGTTGTGACTAATTTCCTTTGTTGAAAAGAAAATCATCACCAAGTGAATTCTCAAAACCTTTGTATATTCAAGTATTCAATTTCCAGCAGATATTTTAAAAAGTTCATATTTATTACTTGAGCAATTTAAGTTTTTGATAAGTATTAGATCCTGTTGGATAAATAAACATTTGAATAAAAATATAAGATAAAATAGTTTTTATTTCCCATGTCCTTGGGGACATGGAGGAAAAATTGAAAAGAACTTTAAAAAATACCTATGTTCAGGCTCCATGTATCTATTCATTTTTAAAGATGTGTTGTGTTAAGCTTTTATTTGGTTCCTAGAGACTAGGAGCATGTCTGTACAAAGCTAGCTCAGTATAATAAAACCTCTAGGAAGAATTGTTCACTACAAATTATGTATTATCTTTTAAATGCACTACAACAGTGGTTTTTAATAAAGGGCAAATAGCAAAATCATTAGTGGGACTTAAAAGAAATTCAGAAACCTAGGCTTTATCCCCTGAGACTCTGAACAGATTTGGGGTAGAGCCTGAACATGTAGCTTTTTTAAAAAATGAAACACCATGAGGGGTTACAATAAAAATTCCCAATTGATAACCCCATGCACAAAGACATACCAATTTTATTATGACCCTCAAACAATACAGAAAAATTACTTTTCAGGTTTTTTTAAATTTACTTTTCAGTTTAGAAAATTTCTGTATTCTTTAAAAAAAAAAAGATTTATTTATGCAACAGAACTGGGGTACAGGCCAGAGGTGCAGGGGCAGCGAGAGGATTTACCAGAGACAGAGTGTGGAGCAGAACAGGCAGATAATTGAAGTCCACTGCTGAGGGGAGCAGCAGGCAAGACAGGAGAGGTCTGCTATGCCATATGGGCCACCCCAGTCCAGGGCCAGGGATCGAACTCACACTGAGGGGTTTTGGCTAGCCTGCAGTGCTGCATTCTAACCTGTTGTGCCACCAGGGAGGGCCCCTATTCCTTTTTTTTTTTTTTTAATTTATTTTATAACAGTTTATTTTTACATCATTTTGTACATTTTTTTTTACATCTCAATTGTAATCTCCACGGGTTTCCCATCACCATGTCACCCGTGTGCCATCACCATAATCCCAATTAGTGGGCTGTCTGTTTTTTGTAATGTCTCTTTTGCTATACAGAAGCTCTTTAACTTGATGTAGTCCCATCTATTTATCTTTTTTTTAAAAAAAGATTTATTTATTTATTCATTCGTACAAAACTGGGGTACAGTTTTGATTATTACGGCTTTGTAGTACAGCTTGAAGTTTGGGATTGTAATACCTCCATTTTGATTTTTCTTAGACATGAGGGTTTTGGCTATTCGAGGTCTTTTGTTGTTCCATATGAATCTCATCAACATTTTTTCTATTTCTTTGAAGAATGTCATTGAGATTTTTATGGGGATGGCATTAAATCTGTATATTACTTTTGGCAGGATAGGGCCCGTATTCCTTTTTAAAGATTATTTTGGGATTCTAGGGAAATAGATTTGATAAAAGACATTTATACAGGTACAAGAATATTATTAATAAGCTTATAAGGTTGCATGTTCATATAATTTAGGCAAATTCAACTCAGCACTCAGGAAATAAACTAAAGTGCTTTTTCCTCTATATACAGGTAGCAAGCAGAAGCCCTTTATCTCATTTAGTGTCAACTGAGATGTGGTAATCTTTTTGAAAATTACAAGAAAACATGTATTGAACTTATCAAGAATTGTACAATACACCCAAAGCTATTTATAATGGTATTGAAGGGCATTTTAAGGAATCTTCAAGAGTAGTATATTGACTATATAATGTAACATAATCCAACTAACTAGTGAAGTACAAGCTTACCATGTTGTCAAAAGTAAAAATGCAATTACCTCTTGCTTTGCTATTTTTTGGTCATCAAATTATTATTATTATTATTTTTTCCTTTCTAGAGATTAAAAAGCCACCAGTGGCCCCCAAGCCGAAGTTTGTGGTGGCAAATAATAAGCCAGCCCCACCTCCTGTTGCACCTAAACCTGATATTGTGGTTTCTAGTGTTCCACAGTCAACAAAGAAGATCAAACCAGCAATAGCTCCAAAACCAAAAGTTCTGAAGGACTCACCTGTTCGAGACATCAGACAGTCACCATCAAGAAAAATCCTCACGAACCTGAAAGAACATAAACAGGAATTACCTGAAAGAGCTGACAACTCTAACTGCAAAAATGTAGGGCATCAGAGTAGTGACTATATTTTACCAATGTGTTCTTGCAGCTCTGAGTGTATCCATAAACTTGGGAATAGAGAGAATATGTATGTAAAGCAGCTTATCTTAGAGCCCCTGGAAATGCATGAAAATTCAGAAAACAGTAAACTTGATGAATTCTCTTCAGCTATAAAAAATAGGAGTAAATGTCACTATAATGGTGAAAAGGTCAGGAGCCAGAGTGGAGTAATTTCAAAGGCAAGTGTCCTAGAGGAGAAACTTAAAGATGTTTTAACACAAAAATCATCACCGTTTATTTTCCCACAGAAGCACAGATCGACACACAACCCAGAAATGAATGATGACTGTAATTCCAAGAGACAATTCAGAAATGAAATTGCAGATTTGTCACCTTCCCAGTCTAGCTTTGCAAGTGCTCCTGATCAACGACACTGCCACCTACAAGTTCCTAGTGATGAATTTCAAAATTTGGAAACTTGTCAGAACAGCAGTGAAAAAAGCAATTTTAACTTTCACTCATCCGAACAAGTTCTGGAAAATGGCAATAAGAGTACTTCTCTTTCTTTAGATGGAGTTAGTAAGAAGTCAGATGTCAAAGAACTTGGTCCCTTAGAAATTCACTTGGTACCATGTACCCCCAAATTTCCAACTCCCAAGCCTAGAAAAACACGTGCTGCTCGCCTATTACGCCAAAAGTTTATAGATACTCCTAGTGAAAGTACTGAAGAATCAGAGAACTTAAATAATAGCTCTTCATATCTTTTCAAAGAGACTTTGGAAAACAATAAAATCAAGATTTGTCATCAGAATGTTTTATGTGACCAGGAACAGGCAGAAAAAATGAAACCAGAAAATAAAAGTGAATTAAATGTGAACCCCAGCAGTGACAGTCAGCACCTAGTCAATTCACAGAAAGCCCTGTGTAATGAACCATCTTCCTTTGGAAAAATGGCACCTCCTTTAAACATAGACTCTAATTTTAGTTCTGACAGCAAGGCAGTGGACGATTCTAGTATGTCACTTGCTGTGGATAAAGGCACTAATTTTACAAGAAGCAGTACTTTGTCTATGAGCCTCCCCAAGCAGCTCAAATTAGGTTGCAGTGAACATTTACCTACTGCTTGTAATCTGGGAATATTTACCCCTCAAATGCAAAAGGAATCTATAATAAAGGATGAAAGTGTCCCAAAAATTGTCCCCCCAAAACCTCAAAGACATATCTTGCCTCCTGCAGGGGTGCTTAAAAAGGCCGCCTCTGAAGAGCTTGTGGAGAAAAGTTCTTATCCATTAAATGAAGAAAAAAATTCAGAAAGGAGTCTAGAAAGAAATCACCTTCAGCATTTGTATGCCCAAAGTCACAATATGTCATGTTCGTCTGATATGCCTAAACGGGCTTTAGAAAAGCCAGTGTGGAAATTACCTCATCCTATTTTACCTTTTCCAGGGACCCCAGAATCCCTAAAGTCTATCACAGTATCCTCAAATAGTGAGCCTTCTTCTACCCTGACCAAGCCGAGAGCAAAATCATTGTCTGCTATGGATGTGGAAAGGTGCACCAAGACTTGCAAAGACTCTCAAAAGAAAAACTCTTTTAAGAAGTTGCTCAACATGAAACTGTCCATCTGTTCCATGAAGAGTGACCTCCAGAAATTTTGGTCCAAGAATAGCCAACTTGGGGACACAACCTCAGGCAGTCTCTTGAGTGGAGAGCAAAAAGGGACTGAAAGTGATTGGCATGGCTTGTTAGTAGGAGATGAAAAGAGAAGCAAACCCACCAAGGCATATTCTGCAGATAATTACAGCCTGGAATCTCAGAAGAAGAAAAAGAGGAAATCTCGGGGCCAGACCAGCACAGGTAATGGAGCAAGAGCTGAGTCTTTGGATGACCAAATGCTTTCCAGAGAGTCATCATCTCAAGTGCCTTACAAATCTGCTCTAAGTAGCTGTGCTCCTGAATATGAAAACGTTCGTCATTATGAAGAAATACCGGAGTATGAAAACTTACCTTTTATTATGGCTGTAGAGAAAACTCCAGAGTTGGAATGGCAGAATTCCAGCAGCATTGAGGACACTGAAGCAAATGTGTATGAGATAGAAGAGCCTTATGAAGCTTCAGGTGGCCAGCTGCGACTTGGACCCAGACATCAGCATTCCAGGTAATGCACAGATACCAGGCAGACATTGCACTTTTGCATGCATCACTGAAATTAACTCAGCAACCCTGTGAGATAGGTATGCAGGGAGAATAATTACTTGGTAATAGTGTAGTTTAATTAAATAGATTATATTACTTAATATATTTATTCCAAAGCACCATCTCTCTTTTTTCTTATTTAAAGATTTATTTATTTATGCATATAAAACTGGGGTAGAGGCCAGAGGTGCAGGGGTGGTGAGAGGATTCACCAGAGACAGAGTGGGGAGCAGAACAGGCTGACTGACGAAGTACACTGCTGAGGGGAGCAGCGGGCGGGTCAGGAGAGGTCTGTCACACCATGTGGTCACCTCTGGGGCAGGATCAAACTCTTGCTAAAGTGGCTTTAGCTGCTTAGTCCTGTGTTATAACCCACTGAGACACCAGGGAGGGCCCCCAAAGTGCCATCTCTTTTTATCATATAGCCAAAATTGAATTGGTCTTTGGAATGTAAGCTTGAAGTTGTTCACTTATTTTAGTAGCTGAATCAGCATAAGGGAAAGCTGAATGGAACAGAAATGTCTCAGGAATTCATAGGCAACAACTTGGAAATCACAGCAGAAACTTATGGGAGGAAATTGCCAATTTAATAAATTGTAAAGTAATTACTTTACAGTAAATAATCTGTAAAGTTATTGTATTATTTACATTTATCTATAGTGCCTTTGTCAGATGAAATTTCTAAATTTGCCAAAGTTATGACTCTTTGATGAGCAATTATTGTTGAAGACTAATTTCTGAGTTCAGATTGATATAGGAAAAAAATCAGAAAACTCTTACCTATTCCCCTGTCTCACTTTTGTATATGTATTTCCTACCTATGATTTACCTACTTCATTTGTCTTATTGAAACTTTGTCCATCCTCAGTGGTCCAGCTCAGCAAGTTTTGGCTTCATTAAGCTTCTATGTCATCTCGTAGGGAAGTGTTTATTTCCTATTCTCACCTCCCAGTTCTACATTGTGGTATCCTTGGAACCATTATCTTAATCTGTTTTATGGTATGATTGTTTATTGGTAGGTCCGATGTTCTATATTTGCTTTTAAGATTCATGAACCGTTTTAGTTGTATCTTTTTCTTTTGCTTCTGTCCATAAAGAAGGCTTATTTGGAGATCAGTAGCTATTATTTGGGTAGATGAGAGAATGAACGAAAAAGAGGCAAAGGAAGTAACAACTTTCTCTGTAGTCATAATGGGAGAAATGCATTGTATTTAAAGTGTTTGTTTTGTGCGTACACAAACCACATAGGCCCTTTTGAAATCTTCATTTTTCTTATGCCATTTACTCAAAGCTTTGGGCACTCAGGCCTGAAAAATGGGACTTTTGTAGAAATAGTAACATATATGGCATGTAGCGGGGGCTTAAACAATGGGGTTATTAGGTGAATTGAATAAATAATATTTAAAAAATTGGAAATGAAATTCAATTTCAAAAAATTATCTCTTTTTATATCTGTGCTTCTGTGCTTCTCTCCATGGGACAATTTTGTAGGTATTGTCCCTTTATATGCTTTTTTTGTTCTGTGTGTGTGTGTGTGTGTGTGTGTGAGAGAGAGAAAGAGAGAGAGAAACAGAAAGACAGAGGCAGAGATGGAGAAAGAGTGATGAAGTTGTTGTCTTATTCATGATGTGCTATAATTCTTAGCCAGAATGAAATTTTTTTTCTTGAAATGAGAGATTTGGCCCTGAGGAAATCCTATGAGATTTCAGGCTGAAATACAGAGAGTTTGTTATCTCTAATACAAGCTGTACGTTTATGGAAAGTGTTCTCTATCTAGTATGCTTCTTACACAACTAGGGCACGTCTGCTCAGGTGGGAGTAGCCAGGATGGAAGGGGTTAATGTACATAGCCATCCCGTGCGGCTGGATGGCATTCATGAGAGGGTTCTTTCTGCAGGCCACAGGAAACCGGGGGCAGCTTTGGACAGGTTGCAGGATGTCAACTAGGACAGCCCGGTGAAGAATGGCTGAGCTTTGATTTTGAATTTAACTTTCCACAGAGAATTTTGTTTAGGCCTAGAGCCAGAAAGTCCTGACCAGGCTTGAGACTCCTAAAATGTGCCAGTTGAATCAAAACCTCCAGACACAGGCTTATACTAACTGTATTACTTGGGAGGCTATTCCTTTATAGACCACACTGAGTAGACAGAGAAAGCAAAACCTAAGCTTTGGTGAGGAGGACACCCAGACACCCTAAAATAAGGTAAATGAACTGAAAGGATTTAAGTGGAAATCCTGTTTGGAAGGCTGGCTATTGAAAATATATCCCTGTCCTGGAGTAATTAATTCAAAATCCAACACCTTAGGATTGTAACATGGTAAGACAAGAACACAAATGAACCCTGTGTTAGATTCTTCTGCTGTAGTGAATCAAAAGTGTCTTTAGCTGTCTCTAATGCCTCAGAGAAGAGAGTCTGCACTTTGGGGACTGATCATAGCGACTCAGTAATTTTACAGCCTGTATATATTACAAACCAGATTCTAGACTAGTAAACAGACATTTGGCAAACCCACATCGTAACCTTTTTTTTTTAGAGTGGAGATGTTTCACAAATCTAACAATTTTAACATTTACAAACTTACCACAACATGTTTATAACTTCTCAGGAAATAATTGTAGATTGTCTCCAATTCCAAAGAGGGTTTATTTTAAAGTTTCATGACAATTTGGAGCTCATAGTGTATTTCTAAAGAAACAGTTGTGGAAGTGGTGGTCAGATCCCAGCCTCCAGCTGACACTGGCCAGAGCTGAACTGGCCAGAGCTGAACTGGCCTCCTTTTTGGCCTTACCAGGTGAATTCTTCTCTCTTTGTTTCTTCAGTTGAAGGCACAAGGATTGTCCAGACTGGGATTCAATACTGGGACATCAGAGCAGCCAGTCACCAGTGGGTCTGAGGTTTCAGGGTTTGTGGAAAGGGTGAGGTGACTAATGAAGAATGAGGACTTTGGGGCCTGGGCGTGTTGTAAGAAAAACTGTCAGACATTGGGAGTGACAGGGAAGTGCTGGGTGGTTAGCAGTTAGGATGTAGTGAATTTTCTTTCCTACCATTTCCCATCATTTTACCTCTTTCTCTCTCAGTTAGCCTTTGTGTGATTCTGCCAATTGAGTTTTTGACCTCAGGCAAGAAACTGTGAAGTGGCTTGATGTGGAAGAAGTGGCTGTGAGCTGTGCAGTGGGGAAGGATAAGCAGCCCTGTGAGAGTGAAGGCAGATGAAGGGGAACTCCCAGGGCCTTGTGAACAGTAAGCATAGGTGTTCGCTGGTGAGTCATCATTTGATGGCCTGAGTTCTCAAAAACAATTTTGTTGGAAGTAAGATTGTGAAACACTGCAGACTATCATCCTGCCTTCTGGGTACCATTATCAGCTCCCTTCCCCCAATGTTTCAACATTAATAAACCTGCAACTGGCAGGCCTGGAACCTTCTCCCTGGCTTGCAGGTGATGAGTGCTCATTAAGAAGTTTCATTTCCATTAGGAAGTTTCTAAAGTTTTGGGCTTTTGATATTAAAGAGTTTTGAGCAAATGCTAAATAGTAACACGTTGGATTTTTTTCCCTCTTGAAACAGATTTCTTAATTCTATAACCAACAAAAACTTTTTCTGGAAGTATTTCAGTTTACTCCTCTAGTGTTTTTGTTTGTTCTTATAAGCACTTAAAAGAAAAAATGTGTGACCTCCATGACCTAGTAAGCACTCAATTTATTTATTCCCCACAGCACAGCTCAGCGCCACTTCTTCCATATCAAGCCATTCACCAGTTTCTTCCGGTGGGGAATAAATATACCGCTGGAGGGAGCAGTGGGCAGGTCAGGAGAGGTCTACCACGCCATGTGGGTCACCTCCCTGGCTGGGGATGGAACTTGCGCTGCAGTGGCTTCACACAGCTTCTAGTGCTGCACTTTAACTCGTGCCACTGGGAGGGGCCTGACAGCATGGTTTTTTATTAATCCAATTTTTGTCTGAATTGTTCCTTGAGTGTAGATTATTAAAAAGAGATGGTGACCCATGAACCAAGACTTTAAAAAAATGGACATGCTTGGATTTGGCACTTAGCAATTGTCATTTTCTAACTCTGAAAAGAGCAGTTTCGTTTGTGCCCTGGGGGCAAAAGTGAGATTGCAGCCAGAGGGGGGCTGAGTAAAGAGGAAGTAGAGTCAGCACATGTGAATTGCTGTTCCTTGAAACTTTGCCCAGAAATTAGGTTTAGACTTATCTTTTGGTTTTCCTCAAGCATCAGGATTCAAGATGAAGTGACTTAAAAATCATTTATTTCAAATTAAGCAGTGTACTCTCATTTCTGATGAACAAAGTACTGAGTTTGCTTTCTCCTCTTTTAAACATAAAACTGGACTCTAAAGAGTTGCTGAATGGCATTACAATGCATACCATAACCCATGACAGCATTTGTGTTATAAATCACCAGACTTGGTCTAGAAGATAACTCCCTTGAGTTGCATTAACCATCTGGTGGTATTGTTGGATTTTAACATAATGATTAAAGTATTAGTTAATACTCCTAATGAGTATGTCTGTGTTATCATAGCACTGATAAGATTATGCACAGTTAGAAGGTGGGGGCTGGGACTCAAATATCTAAGGCAGCCCTTTCCTGTGAGTTATTTTCAGCATCTGTTCAGGAAATATCAAAAATTTGTGTGGCTCTTTAACTTGTGTTTCTTGTGCTGGAATCACAGCCACACAGTTTTGGCAAATCTATTTGTTTACATACTTACCCTACATTTGAAACTGCAACTAGAAGCATTGGGTTTTATTCCTTGGCAATGAAACTTTCCTTTTTTCCTTTTAAGCCAGTTTAGAAGCTAGTTAAATTGCAGTGTTTGTCTCTTTTACTACCAATACAGATGAGTGATATTTTACCAAATATATGTGCTTTTATGTGGTAGGATGTCACTTTCTATCTTTGAGAGGCATATTTTTTAAATCAGACATGGTAGGACAGAT